GTAACATTTTCGGAAACAATTAACTCAGTATATAGCAAAATTAATGCGTTAACGTCGTGTATATAGTGGTGGTTTTATTTCGTTGTTTGCATCACTCTCCTCATCACCTGATGGATCGATCATGGTACAGGGTAAACATTTAATTTGCGAAGAAAGGTCGGTACACCGTACACGTAGGTCAATATTCATATTCACGTCGACTTCATTTCCATGTCTTACTTCCCAACTTGGAGATAGTCACACTCTCTGCGACTTGGAGCGTTTCCGACCATAAGCTAATTAGTAATTTATTTCGCTAAAAGACACTAAATGAAATTAGAGATAACGAAAAACTAAGAAAACGATAGACCGACCATAAGCTAATTTATTTCGCTAAAAGTCATTAAATAAAATTAGAGATAACGAACAAAAGAGCAGACCGTAAGGTAGAAGTACATAACACAGCAAGTTAATTTTGGTATTACGTCATGATATCGTCGTTGGACGATCCGATCAAAAAAAAAAATCATATACGTGTGTCTCGTGTGGTTTAGATGAAGAGAGACCAATCCACGATGTACATATATGCCGACACGCTCCACGTACATACATAGCTAGGGTCCCCGACCGACCGAGCCACTTGTATCGTCAGAAAATATTGGACCAATCCACACTACTGCACGTACGCCGCGGCGTCCTCCTCGACATGCCCGACCAATCCACGACGTACGGGATCATATGCATGGGATATATCAATACCCCAAACCAATCCACGATGTACGTACATGGTTGTGTTCGGCCAGCCAAGCTGCATATATGCTAGCTCGATTGTCAGATGCGATCGGTGGTGGGTGGGCACACCGTCGTTATGGATCAGGATCCTCTGCATTGAAGGAGCCAAGGAGGTTCTAACGTAGAGTACGAACATGTATCCTGCATTAGTTGAGTTGGCAGCCACCCGATCAAGATCGTAAGGTTCACATATTGTGCTGCAGTGTTTATGGCCATGTAGCTACAGTGCATATAGACTGTTTATTGCGTTGATCTTCACATGAACAGTGAATCTCTACATCATTTGTAGCAGGAGGCAGGGTCTCGTCGGGCAGTTGATAGCTCAGCAGCAGCAACACGTGAGACACGAGCGCCAAATTAATAAAGCTAGCTAGCGTCATTTACGCGACAAGGACCGCATGTACCCGCGTCGCCGTCGCCGTCACGCGCGCCGGCCCGGTCGGCCCAGTTGTCAGTTGGCCGCCTGCTTCTGTATATATACGCACACGTTCACGGGCCTCATCCGTGTGTACTTTGGTCGTCCATGCGCCGCATGTAGGTTAGGTTAAGCGCTGCGTGATTAATTAATGGGAAGCAGCGACCATGTGCTCGTGCACGGTTAGAACAGATAAAATAACCAGCTATATGCCTACTATATCGATTTTAAAAATGAGCTAAAGGAGAGAGAAGATACCAGAGGACAACTGTTTAAACGCTGACTACACTCGCTCCAAGGCAAGTTTGAGCAATACTAGTAATTCAACACCATTCTTAGGAGAGAGAGCACATGGCACCAGGAGAAAAATAATTGTTTAAAGAACAATGCTTTTATTATTATTGTACGAATGCAGATGTAGCAATATTTGGAGTAAGCATTGGATTGTGCTACTAGATTTGCTCTTAGAGCAAGATCAATAGCGTAGCCAGTAGCTGGCTCCACTTAACTTTATCCCTCCATCTACTTTTGATAGTTATATTTTCAAATCTAAAAAATTTACTTTTGATAGGCATATTTCAATTCAACAACTTATCATCTTAATAACTTTCTTGGATTTAATGCGTGACTCTTTATTCTTCCACACAAGATTGGCTACATGGGCATCGAGAAATGTAAATATTAATGAATCGCTTGTTTACAAGAAATGGTTAGTAGCATGTTTAAATGGATGATAAGTAGAATCACTTATCGTTGGTCTGTGTGCCAAGATGAAATATGACTATCAAAAGTAGATGGAGGGAGTATTATTTTGTAGCTAATACTAAAAACAACTAGTATAATAGTTTAGCTCTTATATAAACGGCAACATATCCTATACACACAAGCTCTCACGTGTACACACGTACACACCAATTAAAAAATGTCACCCAAAAATTAGAAAAATTCATACATATACTTTCAATAGTATTACACTTAGGGTTAAATTCTTAACCTTAAATTCATTATATTTTAGCCGTAACAAAAATAAAATAAAATCTGATAGTTTTTAGGTTGTAATTTTGTCAGAATTTTATCTTTTTTGTTACTCTCTATGTAGAATGAATTTGAAGATGGGACTTTGCATGTAGATGTAATACTATTGGAAGTACATGTATGAATTTTTCTATAAGTTTTTGTGATAATTTTTAGTTGGTGTGTACGGTGTGCACACGCGAGGACCTATGTGCATAGGATACGTGCTCTATATAAACTGCACCTTATTGATAAAATAATTAATTACGCATACCCGAGTGAATAAATATGATCAACCCTAAACTCATATATATGTTGTGAACTTGTGATATGAACAAGAACTCGTAAAAAAAAAAGAGGTGCGCGGTGGTAGCGCTTTTCCATGCGCCAATCTACAGATTGATGCACTCATTCTGAAGAAGAAAGCACTGTTGCCATGCCAGATCTACTGCCGCCTTGTGGCTATTCCGTTGGTTGAAGCAAACAAGTAGCTAGGAGAAATGGGTCATGATTTCCGTTATGTTAGTGGATTTGGGGATTTTTTTTCTATGTTCCTTTTCCCGTTTCTCTCGATATATGCATGTTGTTTACAGAAAGCTGACAGTAGATGGATTTTTTAGGAGCGAGATTTGCATCTTCCCATCAACATTTCACTAGCAGTAATTATCTACAACCTAATCAACTTTTTTACGAGTTCTTGTTCATATCACAAGTTCACAATATACAGATAGCTACACAGATATAGTTTAGGGTTGATCATACATATTCACGCGGGCATGCATAATTAATTATTTTATTAATAAGTTGCAGTCTACATAAGAGATAATCTATTGTACCGGTTGTTTTTTATTAACTACAAAATAATATAAAGGTAAGTGGAGCCGGTTGCTGGCTACACTATTGATCTTGCTCTTAGTCGCCCGTTTCATCGTCTCTTCGATTCTCTCTCCTTTATGCATAGATTTAATGATAAAAAAAAGTTTTGGAGCCTACTAAGTAGAAATATTGTACGTGCCTGCTCTTAGTTTGTCGGGACGGGTGATGGTGAACTGCTGCGGAAACACTCTAGATCGATCATTACTTGCTCGTCACCAAAACCCTGATAATTTCTCCTGGCTCTATATATAATTGCCACACTACACCAATGCAAACTCTCCTTGGTATAAATTAAGACCTATTTGTTGAGACACCAGAGTTGATGATCTTTTCTGTTTGGTTTATTGAGGGCAAATCTAGCCCAACAATATCATCATCAGTAATGTAGCCACGGATAATAAATGCGTTGGAGGAGGTCAAATGGCATTTTATACCTATGCATAGAGATAGAAGAGAAGAAAGTGTTCACAAAAAATGTAAGCACAAAATGCATATTGGTGATAGGAATACTATATATATCATGCATGATTTCTTTGAGTCTCTCGAATTTCTATTCTTACAATTTCTTGAAAATTGATGACATCTATCCATTTTCTCCAACTCAAATGTGTCTCTAGATACTAGATACTCGAATATGTGGAAAAACAAGATTTAGGATCAGATATAACTAGCATCAACGAAAACATATGGTTTAAATGAACGTCGAGACAAGAATGGTCCAATACTGGGTGGTAATTTCCCTGTTGGAGCCGAGGACTCCACAGAGACCCTTCCCTACGGGAAGGGGGCCGGTGAGCAGGGATGGGCCCCCGCGAATTTCCGGGTACGGAGGAAGGGATGAAAAGCTACCCACAGGGTCTCGAGGATGTGTGTTACTCATCTAAAAATAGCCTACTCCAAGGCATAAAGCCCAGTTAGCTCAATTGGCCAATAGACGGAGTCATATATAAGGTAAACCAAACCCTAAATAATCTCCTTCTCTCCCTCACAGCCACCGGCTAGGAGCCACACACGCCTCCCCCCAAAAAATGTATGAAGTACGCAACTCTATATATAGAATTTGCTAGTTTCTGCCGCAACAGACAATATCATATCATTGCAGTGAGCTGGCAAAATAGAAAAAAAAAGTCTACAATCATAAGGAAAACATAATGCTTCAATAGTTGATCTGTTCTTGCCCCTCACAAATCCTACATGGGATTTTGCAAGTTTTTCACCGTAAATATAGAATAACATAACAAATGATATGACAAATTTGAAATTATAATAGTGAACACTACATCGTCAATTGGAAACGCAACGTTTTGGTAGTGGTTGTTTCCCTTCAAACTCTATACATAGGATCCTATCGGTTTTTGGCCGCAACAAACAATGCACATTATTATTGTGATCTGGCAAATTTGAAACCACAGCAGCGAACGCAATAAAATAACATAAGAAACATAACCCTTCTTCGGTGGTTGTCATCGTCATACCCCAAACTCTGTACATACTCTCTCCGTCCCATAATATAAGGGATTTTGAGTTTTTACTTGTAACGTTTAACCACTCGTCTTATTCAAAATTTTTTTAAATTATTATTTATTTTATTTGTGACTTACTTTATTATCTACAGTACTTTAATCACAACTTTTCGTTTTTTATATTTAAAAAAAAATTTGAATAAGACAAGTGGTCAAACGTTACAAGAAAAACTCAAAATCCTTTATATTGTGAGACGGAGGGAGTATTATTGTATCATCAGTTTTTTCGCTATGGCATACAATATACTGCTATTACAGTGACCCGGCGAAATAGAAAACGTGATGTATGAGTGGCTGCCCTCCTGCCGCCATCCGTCGCGTCTCCGACCATCGTCACCATCCTTTTTGACGCCGTGGGCAGCAAATCCCGCACCTTTCCTGACGCGAGGGCCGAGAGCCACACACACACAAGCTTCTCCGCTTCAACGGGGAAAAGAACAATTATTACCTCTCCAACTACTCCTTCCTTCCTTCCTCCTCGCGTCCCTCTCTCCCTCCATTCCCTTTTCCGCCCTTTTTACTTGCCCTTTTTCCTCCTCCCCAGATTCGCCCCGCACCGCACCGCCCTTGGCTCGCCCCGCCGCTCGTCCACCACCACGCAGGGAGAGAATTTTGACGGCAGAGGCGTCGTCGTTGATTAGGGCGATTGGATTAGTCGCGTCGCCGTTGAGACCCACGCGGGCCTCTTGTCCCGTAACCAACTACCTCCTTCCCCATTGGCTGCCTTGGTTTGGGATTGGGAGGCCATTCGTTTCGTTGCGTTGCGGGATACAATAATAGCAGCAGCAGCAGCGCCACCCCTCGGCAAAGCCATCGGGGGCGCGCGCTTGTAGCCATCGGAGGAGGAGGAGGGAGGGGAGGCGCGCGGCGCCGGGGGGCGGATCGGCTGCGGGTGCATGGTGGAGGCCGCCGCGGGGCGCCGGTCGGGGGCCAACCGTCGGCGGCCTAGCGGCGGGGGCGAGCGGCGGCGGCAGCAGCAGCAGCACCAGCGCCTCGTCGCGGTCGCGGTGGCCGCGCGCGTCGTCATGGTGGCGCCCGCGGCCACGCCCGCGCCCGCGGCGGGGGGTGGCGGGGGCTGCGTCGAGGACATCCTCGGGTGCCTCCTCGGCGTGCTGCGCGCGCTCGGCGTCACGTGGGCGGCGGCGGCGAGGCCGCAGAGGCAGCAGCCGCGCCTGGCGGCGCAGACGCCGCGAGGGCCCGCGCCTGGGGCGGATGGGCGCCGCGCCGCCGCCGAGCTGAGGGGGATCCCCGGCCGGATCGCGGGGAACGGGGCCTGCGCCGTCGCGTCGCTCTACACGCTGCAGGGGAAGAAAGGCGTCAACCAAGACGCCATGATCGTCTGGGAGGTAAAAAAATCACCATCGCTTCTTGCTTTCCTGTCTCTACCTTTTTTCTTTGCAAATCTCTTTCACGATTCGTTTTCTTGCAATTCTCCTGACATGCAATTCGTACTATGCTCCCGTTACTATTGCTTGATTTAATCTCTGTAGGCTGGAACGAAATTGATCCGACATGTATTAACTGTCTCGTCCTTTGATCTAGATTTACACATCGGAATCAAGGAATTTATTTTTTTTGTTTGAAGACTTATCGTAATTGAGTTGTTCTTGATGTTAACATCAACCGGCTGCTAATTGGAGCACATCCAGTTTATGTTCTCATCAATTACGCAACAAGTGTAAGGAGCTTACCCACATATCGAAGCTTGCAAGAATTAAACTTTGACTGAAATTTAATACTAATTCTGAGGCATGGATTGTCATTGGATGTTGCTGGTAGAGAGTTTCTATTGTGGTTGTTTAATTCAAGTCTAATGATTGCTATTGATTTGGAATACTTGCTGGGGGATGTAGGGGCTCCACATGATTTTCATGCTTATCCATCCATAGTTCCTTTTTATTTCCCTCTCCTTGCTGGATGATCTTATCTGCTTGACCACCCCCACTCCCCTTTCCATATGTTTGATTACAATTTGGCTCACATCGTGTCAGTGCCACATATACCGTTCATGTCAGCATTTGTTTCCTGGAATTTGTACCTTGCAAGAATTTCCTAGGCAGTTTTCTCAATTTAGACTCACATGATTTGACAACTGTACTAACCTTCTACAAAAAGAAAAAAAAATGCACACTGTTCTGGCTTTCTTATGGTATATAGGAAATAGGTAATAGTGAGAAGTGTGCGTAACGCAATCGGCGGCTTGGTACCCTGTGTTCATAGAGCCTGCATATGAGCCCTACTTGGCGCAGTTGCTCTCACCCTTTGTGCAGATTATGTTCTGGGCAGGAATTACACCCGTTGCTTCTGCTTAGTACCATCAATTCTAAATTCTTCCTTGGCATGCCACATACTTTTAGGAAATGATAATATCAGTTTCTAATTTCACACTAATTACCAATCTCCTGTATCCTTTTTAATCAACAGTTTACGATGTAAATTTTTGTGGTTCTTATGTACCTATGGAGGATATGATTTATACTAAACAGATATTTCTATTGGGTACAGAATTTCTGTTCAAGAGAGGATACCATTTTTTGTGGTGTTTTTGATGGCCATGGACCAAACGGCCATTTGGTTGCTAAGAGGGTGAGAGATCTTCTGCCCATTAAGCTTGGTGCGGATTTGGGGACGGATGAAGGACGACAGACATCCACTAGCAGCATCAAAAGCAATGGAGATGAAACAGGATCCCCTGGAAACATGGGCAGAGATGCTGAGCAGAACGGAGAGTACCCAGAGATCTTCACAGCATTGAGAACTTCATTTTTGAGGGCGTTCAATGTCATGGATAGAGATCTCAAGTTACATAAAAGTATAGATTGTTTTTTCAGTGGAACAACAGCAGTGGCAGTGCTCAAGCAGGTAATTGAACGGAACCCATATCTGATTTTGTTTTACAGAAATCCCTACTGTTGGTTCCATTCAGTTGAAAAGCTGCTCAAAGTGCATGCTGGAATATTGATTTTGTTCTCTTATTCTTGTTAAATGCAGGGACGGAATCTTATAATTGGTAACCTCGGGGACTCGCGGGCCATCTTAGGCACAAGAGATAAAGATAATCAGCTTATGGCTGTCCAATTGACAGTTGATCTCAAACCTAACATTCCAAGTATGTTATACATTTTCCTTCCTACTTTTTTCTCTCTGCTGTTTCTCTTTAACCTAATTATCTTTTACATATATATTTTTTTGTCACCCTTGTTGTGTCATCATATTTTCTTCGTTTGTGGTTTGTTGATTTTGTTGTGAACTGTAGTCCTCTTGTGGGCCCTTATGTATCTTTGGACTATGCAATATTCCTAGATATTAAGCTGTGGAGTAGCTTTCATCATTTCATATTTGTTCTCCAATGTGATTGCCTATTGTTTTTCATAAGTCTGAAGAACCATGTTATTAGTATCTAATTGTTCTATAATGGGTACATATATTGTTTGTTCATGAAATGTTTGTTCCAGCATTCACATGGATCTGTACTAAAATTAAATTATGAAAGCTTTTGGATTTTTTTTATGTCATGTTAAAATAAATAAGGTTCAGATTTGCACCCTGAAGACAACGTAGAAGTTAATAACAAGTCCAAGCATTTTGGTCTAGATGTATTTCTATGACAAAAAAGAAGTGCTTAGCAACACTAAATATATGCAATTTGGAAGGTATTATCCTTTGTGAGGTTGACAAGTGGGTCCTAGGGCCACCTGTTAGTGACACAAATGTTACTTTCCGACTTGCTACTGAGAACTGTGGAATTTGACCCTTCTAGTGTTTATAAATTGTAAAAATACATTTAACTTTGGATGAGTGTCTACAGATGTTATTGATATCATCCTGTAGCTGGTTGGAAGTTTCCTCTGGTATCCCTTTTACAATATATAAATGTTATTTCAGCTTACAGATATGAATATTTGATGACAAATATTTAATGTTACTATGGTAGTAGCAAATACTGCTGAATATTTTTTGCTCCTAGTTAACTGAGCAAAGTTGCAGAGCTTCGGGCCAGCAACGTAATACAATAAACAATTTAATTCCGTAATGGATAGCTGCAAAATTTGTGAGATGCATGCCATGTCTTCTCCAATTCCTCATTTTATTATATGAAGATTGCTGAGTTGAAATGCATGCTGTACTATGGTTCTTTTTCAGGTGAAGCACAGCGAATCAGGCAACGCAGGGGCAGGATATTTGCACTTCCTGAGGAGCCAGAGGTTGCTCGTGTTTGGCTTCCGAAGTACAACTCCCCTGGACTGGCCATGGCTAGGGCATTTGGAGACTTCTGTCTCAAGGATTATGGTCTAATCTCTATGCCTGAAGTCTCGTACCACCGTATCACAGAAAAGGATGAGTTTGTTGTATTGGCTACTGATGGGGTAAGCAGATCTTGAGTTGCACGCACCATGTCATTTCCTGAATATGATACAATTTCCTAAATTTATGTGCTTATTTGTAGGTTTGGGATGTGCTGTCAAACACTGAAGTTGTTAGTATTGTCAACAGAGCTACTTCTCGGGCCTCTGCAGCACGATTGCTAGTCGAATCAGCTCACCGTGCCTGGCGTGCACGTTTCCCCACTTCTAAAATTGATGATTGTGCTGTGGTCTGCCTATTCCTGGATACAGACGAATTAAGTGAAACATCCAGTTCTATGGCCCGCGATATGACAAATGCTGTAGAAGTTAGCAGTGGGCAGCACTCCAATACTATCCAATTGAGCACTGGAGTATCTTCAGATGTTGTTACTGCAGTTCTAACAGATGGTGATGATCTGTCTGCTGTTGATGCAGTTGCAAAGCTGGTTACTCTCACGGATTTGCCGAACAATGCTTCAGGCGCAACGCAAAGCATCACCACCAAGTGAGCCTTGTTTGTTCCCCGGGGATTGAGCATTTGTGGGACGATCCTGCACAGTTGTGATGATGCGGGTCGCGCATTCAGAATTCTCTTGCCGAGACTGATGCCTGTTTTTGTAAGAGCACATCGGAAGTTGCAGCTTGCTATTTTTCTCCATGCAAGTGTGGATAGGATCTGCAGTTTTTTCGCCTTTTGTAAAGTACCAAAGTCAGTTTAGCGTCATTTGTTGTATTTCTTTTGCTATAATTTTGTTCTCGCTATCGTTGGTAAATCATAGTAAATCCCCTATAGGCAGAAGAAGCCTTTTGAGTTTTCACCATTTTATTCTGTAATATTCATTCGATTTCTACCTCGCCTGGGGGACTCCCAGCCTATGGCTGCCATGTGAATATGTGATCCAATGCCTGCCTGATGAGATATGCAACGCTTGGCTGCATGCTGTGAAGTGTGGAATGCGCAACTCAAGGCGCGGAAATGGTCACTTTGATGATAGCGGGTCAGGCCTCGTTCTTTGTAGGTAACGGAGCTATCAAAAACACGAGTTAATAAAAAACTTTCTACATCATCATTATTCCCTAGATGTTTTTTTTCCAAGCTAGTAAGAGTACTTGTTAACTCTATAATAATCTATTTTTTAGATAATGAAATTTATATCCCGGCCTTGACTCAACAGAGTTATAGCCAATTATTACAAAGTATCACTCATACAAAGAGTGTAGTTCAAATGTAATCAAACACACTCAATCAAAATAAAAGCAAACCAAGATAAAGAGTACACATTTATTCTAGTCTATTTGTGAATCTCCATCCATAGTTTGCAAAGAGTTGCATCACCGTCGTCTCGAGTTTGCGGCATGCAACCTTCATAAGTTCACCATTCTCTTCACACTTTTGCAGCTTTGCCCAAAACTGGAGCCAATATGTTACCTTGAATATTACCTGCATATATGAAGTATATGGTGATTTGTTAAAAACTAAATCATTCCTACTCAACCATAGAGCCTAACATATGGCAAATGTTCCTACAAGTATGAGATTACACTTCTTCTTATTAACCCCCATAAGCCACCCATCAAACATATTAGATATGGTACTTGGAAGGTTTAAACCAAAAGAGAATTGTACTGCTCTCCAAACAAATCTTACATAATGACAGTCAAGAAAAAGATGTTGTATGGTCTTATTTTTCATGCAGAAACAACATCTTAAACTGCCATTCCAATTTCGTCTTGCCAAATTGTCCTTAGTCAGCACAACTCCTTTAAGAAAGTACCACATAAAGATCTTAATCTTGAGTGGCATCTTAAGCTTCCAAATAATCTTATTTCTTTCAATATATCCATTATTAATTAAAGCTAGATACATTGACCTAACAGAAAAACTACCACTCTGATGATAATTCCATATAAAGCAATCAGAAGAATGGTTCAATTGAATATGTATAATAGAAGTACACAATTCATGCCAATATGTAAGATTCTAGCCAACTAAGGCTCTCCTAAAGGAAACATTAAGTGGAACAGAACTCATAACACTAGCAATGGTAGAATTTTTCCTTCTAACAATATAATAATATATAATAATCAATTTGATTTTATTGGTTAGTCAGCTTTATCAGTTGTTTAGAAAGCGGCCTGAAACCCCGTCGCAATCGCGTTGCATAGTCCTGTAGAAACATCAGTTGGTGGGTGAAAGGAACTTGGGAAGTTTGTCCGCCACGATGTTGATGAGGGGCCAAGGGGGACCAGAAAAACGCATGGCATGGGTGACCTCGTGCCGATTCTCTCACTGTCGATCATACGTCCTTGTATTTGTATGCAACCGTCGAACGGATATAATCTCATGTTTGTCAAAGCGTCCAGCGCGCGCGCACACACGGAAGCACAAGGGGGATGTTTTCGGTTCCTTTTGGCGTCTGTCTCACTGTCAAGCCCTCCAAACGTACTTCAACTTCGCCATATTTCTGCGCCCGGGGCACGTGGAGACCTGGTTAATTAATTTTCACTTAGTACAATCAACACACACATTACATGATACATTGCGCTCTATGGACATCGTTAAAAAAAAGAGGTAAGAAACATTAAATACACTTTTACCGCTATCTGAAGTACTACCTTTTAAGAGGTACTGTGAGAAGCATTGTGAGAGGGGTGTTTAGCTAATATGCTCCTCCGATATTTACTCCGGAAGATCTACATACATCCTTAAAGTTTACCATGATCTCCCTAGAAGGCCTCTTTGATTCATAGGATTGGTAAAGGATTTTTTTAGAAATTAAATTCCTACGGATTTTTTCCTACATGTCCGTTTGATTCGTAGGAAAGAAATGAAACTTTTCATAGGGCTATATTCCTATGCTTTATATTTCATAGGAAAAATAAGGGAGAATAGCTACTTTAGTCCCTAAAGTTTCTCTGTATGATCAGTTTAGTCCCTAACCTTTTAAATGGTCCAAAGAAATCCTTAACCTTTGTCATAAGTCCTAGAATAGTCCTTGGGTCCACCAAAATCATCATATGGATATGCCATGTCATCATTCATGCAAAATCTATGACGAATTATCCAATTTACCCTTACGTATATCATAGAAAAATAAATATAAGGGTGAATTAGACATAACTATAGGAAAAAAAAAACTTCTTTTTTACCCTTTTGAGGTATATTTTTGCTCTTACATATACCATATATTTTTTTAACTTTTTCCTTTTGTTTTTTATTTTCTTATGTGTAAGGGTAAATTGGACAAATCATATAGATTTTGCATAGTAAGGTGACATGGCATGTCCATGTGGCAATTTTGGTGGGACCAAGGACTATATTAGCCCACATGACAAATTTCAAAGACTTGTTTGGACAATATGAAAGATTAAGGACTAAAATGACCCAGTAGCGAAACTTTAGGGACCATATTAGCTATTCTCCCGAAAAATAACAAGAGGTTTGACCTTTTTTTTGAACTTTTCTTTGTTTTTCCCATAGCACTATCAAAGTACTCTTTTTGTCTTTCCTGTGTTTGTTGATTGCTGTAAGATTTAAGAAACATACTATTTCAATTTCTACGTTTTTTTTCTATTCCTGTGTTTTTCCTATCCTGTGAATCAAATGGGCCCTTAAAGGGCTTGTTTAAGGAAGCTTCTGGCAGCTGGAAATTCTTCTCGAAGCTGCAACTATCATAAGCTCCCTAGACAGTACATATTTTCACTCAGATTCTGAGAAACAGTGATTATAGAATCTAGAAAATAAATTAGAAGTCAGAAGCTGAGTTTCCTAGCTTCTCCAGATTCTCACCAGCTGCTTCTTAGAATTTTAAGCTTCTCCAGATTCTCACTATCGACGGGAGAGCCAGCTCTCACTCGGAGGCACCCATGGTGGCGAGGAGATGGCCCTCACAGGGAGGCACCCATGGCGACAGGGAAGCCAGAGCTCTCAGGGAGGCACCCATGGAGGCGGGAGAATCGATGCTCATGAGAAGACGCCAGTGGCGGAGGGAGAGTCGGCGCTCTCAGGGAGGCACCCTCGGCGGCGGGAGATCCGGGCACACTCGGAGGCGTCCACGACATCTCCTCGTTACAGCCCCTCCTTGACCTCGACATTGGCACCATTTCTAGCATCGGCGTTGGCGCGTCACCATCCTCGGCTCCCCCTCTGCCGCCCATAGCTGCCTCTACCCCTGCTTGCCGCTTCCGGTTGCCTCCGTCATCGTCTGCCTTCCCTACCTGCCTCCGTCCCCGCCCGTCGCCCCTAGCCGCCTTCGCTGAAAGGAGGGAGATATAGAGAGGGAAAGCTCCTCTGTTCGGTCGCTATGCACCGTTGACTTCACACGATTAGACGCGATGAGATAGACTAGAGAGAGATGTAGAGGGTGAGAAACTAACATATGGGGCTTAACTTTTTTTTTTAAAAAAAAAGGAATTGCTAACTGGACTATCACATAGTACCAAAACCACCCCAAAATTGAGCCGAGGGTTATTTTTTCGGTTTACATAGTTGGAGGTGTAAAATATCTAGTATTCAAGTTCAGGGGTAATTCGATCGACTGTGATATTTTAAAAGGGTAATTCGGGTTTTCTTCCTTTTCTAAAGTAGAGTGGCAAAACTTAAAGGTGGGTTATACACAATGGAATATTATGGTGTTTTCCTCTCAACTCTGTAAGAAAACTTAGGATCCCTTATAAAGGGAGATGGAGGGAGTATATGTTTCCTTGTAGCAAGTGCAATTTCACACAAAATGGTTTTCATTTGAGAGAATTACTATACTTAAGTTGCGAGTTGTTTATTTCTCTGGATCTTGGATGCATCTAAGGGTAATGGGTCTTTAGCCACTCAATAATCTGAAAAAAATGCTCCTCCAAAGAAATTCATTAGATTAGTACTAATCTAGCTTATGGATTATAATAATTTATTATAATAATCTGCTTGCTTACTCCTAATAATTTAGATTATAATAATTCTAAGCTGAATCAATCAGGGCCAGTCGATTAAGTTGTTTAATCCTATCTTACTATAAAGTTATCCCCTACTAACTCCTTAAGCTTAACATGCAAAGATGCTACATCATCATCCACTAACAAGATGCCACATCATCATCCACTAATTAACAAGATGTCACATCATCATCCACTAACAATCATCACATTTAAACATCATGCAAACATGCTATATATTTATAATTTTTATAATTTAAGAGCTTTTCAAATACAAACATGTTAAATTATCATCCAACATAATTCACATAATGTTTCAATGTATATCTTCATGCAAAGATGCCACATCATCATCCACTAATTAACAAGATGCCACATCATCATACACTAACAATCATCACATTTAAACATCATGTAAACATGTTATATCTTTATAGTTTTTATAATTTAAGAGTTTTTCAAACACAAACATGTTAAATTATCATCCAACATAATTCACATAATGTTTCAATGTATATCTTCATACTAAATTAGTAATGCGCGGGGTTTCACCTAGGGCTTGTTCATTTTGATGTCATTTTTAACCTTACCAAGTGTAAAGTTATCAAAAAAGTAGCTACATTTAGTTTGCTGCCAAATTTTGATAACTATATAAGAAATCCTGCCATGCCAAAATTTTGGCATTGCTAAAATTTGATAAAGTTTTTTTTTTGCATCAAAGTGAACAACAGACCCCTAGTTATAACAGATCGAATAATTCAAGGAAGTAAAAACAAACTTCTTATCACTTCAGAAAAGTTACAGAGAGCCGCAGTCATAGTCTGCATGCCTGCGTGACCTGGTGCCTAGAAGAGCCATGACGACCGCGCACACAAGCCTTACCACGGCCGACTTCGTTCTTAGCAAAGTCCCAACGGTGAAGGACTCCAGCGACAGCCTTATCACCCTCGCCCTCCTCTCCCTCACGTACCTCCCTATCGCCGCGCCCATCTCGCCGTCGACCTGCGGCTGATCGTGCCGGCGACCACGGTCACCGGCCAAGTCGTCGGCGCCACCTTCTACGGTGGCACGCGACGACGATAGCGAGCGGGCGAGCACGACGGCGTCCTCCAGCGCGGAGGAGCCGCCCTGGCCGATGAACGGGCCCATGACGTGCATCGCGTCGCCGGCGACCGTCACGGCGGCGCGCCGCCTCAGCTGGAAGAAGGCGGCGAGCGCCACCTGCCAGGGGGGCCTGTACCACACCTTCGTCGTGGTCCACAGCGATGACGCATGGTCGCACCGCCGCACCATGTCGACGACGTCGGCGGGGCACTCCTGCAGCTTCTCCAGCACGTACTCCCTCGCGGCGCTCGCGTCTCGTGCCATGTCTGGAGATCATCACATGTTTGTGAGTTCGTCCCAAACATTAGTGCTACAGTTTTAAAACTTGACTTTTAAAGTTAATTTCAATTCTTTTTATCAACGTTTATTTTTGGGATAAGTCCTCAATGCTAGCTTTTAAATCACTAGTAACGCATATATAAATGTTTTACTTATAAAATATTTTTTAATAAGTTGTACGGTTTATAATCAACACTTTGTCAAACATTCTAATTCCTCGAGAAGACATCTCCTCTGTTGTGTTTTTATTTTCAAACGCAATGCAAATGATTATGGAATTTTTTTTTAACAAAGTAGCACAATGACAACTATCACCGAGGAAATATTCTGAAATGCATAACAGACCACTGTTCAAACGTTGTTTTTTTAAAAAGAAGAACAATGCTTCATTTGATTGATAAAGAAGAGATGCGCATCAACCCAACATAATGGTTTACACCGAAAGCGCCATCCTATAAACACCTCAAGATCATTTCCCAAAAGATACAATAAACACCTGAAAACACCTATAACACCCAACCCCAAACGCTGGGTTTGTCTTTTGGCCTTTTCTTTTCTCTCTATATGCGAGTTAAGTTTCAATTTAAAACTTTATGGGATTAAATATGTAATATTTTGAGAATTTTTCATAACGAAACAAGGATAAAAAGAGTTTTCCTTGTCGCTCCTCTTATATTTCTGAACTTTTTCAGATTTTTTTTTCAGATAACGGTGAAACTTTTTTCAGATAGCTAACGTATACTGTAGCCAGTGATCGTTTGTCTGTGTACCTGTGGAATGCCTGCGCCTGCTGAGGAAGAAATGGACGAGATGGTCGTTGATGGGCAGCCGTCCGACGGCGAGATCATCGCCGGCAATGGTCAGGAACTCTGTTCCAAATGGATGGCCGTCCGGGTAGCTGGCGAGGCCAAGAATGGCCAAACGAGGAAGCTCCGACGGATTCCCTAATCCCAAGTATTTAGCCACCACCGAATTGGCGCCGTCGCAGCCAATCAGCACCTGCTAGGACTAGGAATAGGATCAATCATGCATTTGGATTGAGACACGGCTTCATCTTTTCGCTCATACTTATCGACTAAAATTTGATTTTTTTCAACCTTAAATTTAGAAAATTTAAGTCGATTTTGGGGTTTTTTATCGTAGTTTATTTTTCCAGCCTTTACTTTTAAATTAAGAACATGTATATAAAATTTTTATTCATAAATTACTGTGCAATTGATTTCAGGGATGTGTTGAGACTTGAGAGACGTTGCAATTAGTCAATTAATCACCTTGGCCTTGATGGTGTGTCCATCCTCCGTGGTAAGAACCGGGCAGCGGCTGCCGGAGTCTTCGTCGACGGCCGCGACGCGACAGCCGAAGCGGATCGTCCCTGCAGGCAGGTTCTTGGCCAGCGTCTCCACCAAATCCTTTCTTGTCAAGCACCGAAGCTCCTTCCTAGCATTTGATCGAACAGAATGGAGGCAAAACCTCAATGATCTTAGCCAGCATTTGGTACTAGCTCGGTAGTAGTTGACAAACCGCGCGCAAAACTTCACCTGGCAGGCAGCAGGGTGGTCTTGTTCTGCAGCTGCCACACGCTGCGATACCTGAAACGCAGTATACATTTCACATTTGTAAATGATTATTCAGTGATCCTATTGCAACCTGATGAAGGCTGAGGTTGATTAATTCTAGTTACGCGGTGATGGCGTTGGTGGCCTCCCTGAGCACCGCCGCGACGCCAAGATGCTCCAGAGCTCGCCATCCGTTGGCGTGGATGCCGATGGCCACGCCGTCTGCTCGCAGCGCCTCGGACCTCTCCAGCACGAGGCTGCTTATCCCCTTCCTGCACTCAAACCCACAACCAGAGATTAATCCATTTCCTCCTCGTCGTCTTCTTCTTAGCATTAGTTCAGATTCTTTTTTCCCCGAGGACGAGGAAAAGCAGGATATTCGATGCTATCTAGTCACGAATTGGTCGACAATCTAGGACGAACAGCGACGACGATAGCGACGAGAGGCATGGACAAAACCACAAAAACTACTCCTACTTGTCTGCACGGTAAGGTCGATCGATGGAGGAGATATGGTCGAGTGAGAGAACAGGTGCGTGTACCGGTGAAGGGCGAGAGCGGTGGCGAGGCCGCAGATGCCGCCGCCGACGATGACGATGCCATGGGCGGCGTCCTCCACCACCTCCTCCATCTCCATCTCCGCTTGCTACTTGCTAGCTTCCCGTGTCTCCTACTAACTCAAGCTACCTGCTACCGAGGATTTATGATTTGACCTCTCCTTTAGGTCTTAGATTAATGGATCGATGACGGTGAAGATTATATTATTTTGGCCACTGGCTGGCCAGATACGATTATTACTATACTATAAAATATTTCCAGAGGATGGTGTACGTCTGATGGATCTGTCTTCTCTACCTAGGATTTGTTATACTATGATAACGTACAGTTCAGTGTAATATGGGTATCTCCACAATAAACAAATTGAATTGGTCGTCACAAATAATTGAAAGTTTAAGTTTGGTATTGGTGATTAATTATAAATCCAATTATATGAGACTAATAATTTTGTGAGTTTTTTTTTAAGTTTCATGCATGTGAATATGAAAGTGAAAATTATGAAAGGTATGTAATAAGCTCCGCATGTTCTAAATCAATCTATCATGGGTCCAAAATATGAGAACTTCTATGCTTGGAATTAATTAGGATCCTTGATCAATAATGATCTAACGCACAAAGAGAGAAGTTACTAGGAAGAAGATATCAAAAGGGTGGGCTAGGTATGGAAGGTGGAAAATTAAAATGTTAATTGATTTTCATTAAAAAAAATCGGTAAAGGGCAAAAGCGTCTTCTCTACTCCCGATCCGTTCTATGTCTGTTCGTGTTTGGATAATGGGTTATGAGATGTGGGATTGGAAAATGAAAATGAATGAAGAGCTAAGATGAAATGAGGTGGGAAGAATGAATGGTTGGAATTTAAAGATGTCTTTTAGTGGATGGGAAATCATCTCCCTAACCCATTAGCCAAACATACCCTAGGTGTTTGTGGAGGTCTTCGAGAAAGTTGGCAGAGGGGGAGAACCGGAGGCACACGGGATTGTCCACCATCGGAGCTCGGCGCCCAGCACCGCGAGCTCGCGGCGGCCGTCTCCGCCGTCGCACCTCCGTCAATCCATTTCAGGCGGAGAGGCGGTGGCGCACGGGATCCCCGTCCTTCGGAGCGTGTGTCGACGACCGCGACCTCGGTGCCCATGACCGCGAGCTCGCGGCGGCCGACCCCTCTGTCTCCGCTTTGGGGCGCTCCTCTCCAACCGTCGGTGGGATTGCAGGTGGAGGTGGAGGTGACTGATGCAGAGGGGAAGAGGCGTGAAGGCACGCGAGCCCTGTCCATAGACCACGCTTTCATCCCCACCTTGTCTCCCACACAAATGTCGCTATCGCGGCGCCTCGCCGTGCTCCGCTCCCATCTCCACCTCGGCGCCCCTTCCAGCGAAGGTGACCAGGACATCATGTGCGCGGAGCAAAGCGCGGGGGTCTTGACCTCCCCTTGCGCCGCCGCCTCCATCGCCGGGACGGGAAGGGAAGAGCTGTGTGTTCTGCCGTATCATCCGCGGCGAAGCGCCGGCCTTCAAGGTTCATCGTTCTCGTCCCCTCGCCTTAGTTCCCTCGGCGAGTAGTGGTGCTCTTCTTCCGCTGAGAATTTGGGGGTGAATAGAAATCGCAACGGCACATAATTTTTCTAATTATTATTTTCTGGTTCGTAGTTGCAATGCGTCTCCTGATTGATGCGAAGCGCATGGGCTCCCCTTCCTTCACAGTGTACCATCGACGACCGCGAGCTCGCGTTGGCCATGGCCGCAGCTGCTGGCGATTTGGAGTAAGCCTCCTGGCTCTGCGTAGACGTGAGTTAACTTGATCTGATATTTCGAGGTGCATTCATCTAGTAGTTGATTTCGATCTTGCCGTGTTGTGACTGTTATATTTACATTCAGCTTGTTTTGGATCCTTTTGTTAGATGCCCTTTAACTTGAGCTATTAAGGGTTGGACAGAATTTTGGTAGAGTGAATTGCACTTTGTGCCTCTTTTAGAATGAATTGCACTAGAGAATAATGTTACAGGTGTGATAGAATTGTTGTTTTTCTTCCATTCACTAGAGTTGAAGGTTGCTGGTATGCTAGAGTAGTAGAATTGTACAATGGTTTTTTTTTTTTTTGATAAGATTGGTTGTTTTGTGTGACTTGCAAAACTGGGCTGCAATTGTTGCTGATTTCAGCGTAGAATTTGATTTTAGAATGTTGCGGAGATTATGGGTATCCCATACCCACATGGTATGGTTATCCGACTAGTTATAGGGGATAACTTATATCTATAGAATATGTATAGATCATGACTTGGGTATTACGTTTCCTTGTATATTACGGAACAGCCTAAAGTCCTGTTTTGATTATATTGTAAAGTAGATTTAGGAAACCAATACCGTAATGGTTAAAGTTTTTATCTTGTAACCTTGCCCCCCATCCTATATAAGGTGGGTAGGAGGCCCTCTAGGGCAGGAGGATTTACAACTAGATCGTCAGATCAATACAACATCTGGCAGATTCAAATCCCCAAACAGGAGTAGGGTATTACCTCTCATCGAGAGGGCTTGACCCTGTCTAAATCCTTGTCCCCGCATATATCCACTTTTAGGTCTCGTACGCTATCCCCTTTATATTGCCGAAATCTTGTTTCGACAATGACCACGACAACAAGCTAGCTGCCGAAACATTTCCATGGTCTAAACTGCAACCTTTTGGCAAGTTTAGATGGTGTGAACCGCAAAGTTTAGGAAACCCTGGTCCAATATGCATACATGGTAACAAAAATGGGTGCAAAGTGGAATTCTCTCTCTCTCTCTCTCTCTTTCTCTCTCTTAATAAGTAACCATGCCTAAACTTGATATGATTCCCACTTCTGAAAACAAAGTAAGGTTGGCTGACTTAGCGCATTGGAATGACATTGAATAAATGGAATGTCAGATACGCAAAAAAATGATCCATAAGAAATATTACAAATCTGATCCAAAATAATAAACAGAGAATTTGATAACTCTAATGTTGTTGGTAGGGGCTCAATTGATATTGACTAGGAGTGTGCATCCTTCGATTCGCAGAACACACTCTTTGTGCAATTGTTTTACTTTCCGGGCTTACTTCCTTGGTGTTAGACTTTGCAGTACTTGCCTCTTTAGTTTGCGTTCGCGCACGCTTCTTTGTACCTTGACTTACTATATGCAGGCCTTTTCTGTTAGCATCTTGTAGCACACTGTCATGTGTAGTTTTTTTTTTTTTGAAACCTTCATTGCCCTCTTTCTTTTTGCAGTGCATATTATTTTGACATCAGCATCCATAGCTTGCTCTTCTCCCTCAATGTCTCTTGCAATCTAGGAGAGAAATTCAGCTTCCTGAATAACATAAAATATTAAATAGTATTACTGAAAGTGGCAGTGACACAAAGGATAAATAATTGCCATATCAATTTCGCAAACCGTGATAGGATGTTTGTAGGATGGTCTCCGAACTTTGTTACATTCTGAGAGCAAATATTAAGATTTTTTCTATAAGTTAAAGGCAATATATTAATCTGTTATTAGGTATGAATGCTAGCAAATATTAAGAATTTTTCTTACTAGTCCATTTGTTATGGTATATCGGGCATAGTACTGGTTTTTCTACAGAGTAATGTTTATAGGCTCGATAAGTGTGACCAAACCACCTTCAACTGCACGCTCTATACATAATTGCAAGTTTGTTACCTGCCATACAAGAAATTTCGAATGCTCATCATTAGCAAATACATTTGCTATATTATTTGCCAAGTTTTTATGGTAAAAGATTATATTACTATTCGTTTTTCCTTTTCCTCATCGTGCAACCTCGTCATTGAGACAGCAGAGTTAAGAATTTTGATCTCCTTCTTGAGTGAATTCACCACTAATAAACTCCAATGGCTTCCCATCACATTGAATGGGACAAATACCTAATATTGACATGCTAGGTTTAAATATTGTCACGCCCAGAAATTTAGCCCAAATTTCCAGACTATTTTGTGTATTAAATCCCTGTCCAGGACCAGCCAGGATACACAAAACGACAAGTAATATACAGTTCCAAACGTAAATAAAGCGTAAAATACTTACAGAAGAGGCACTTAGTCCTCGCACCGAAACGAAAGCAGCAGCAGCGGAAAAAGGCGATCCTAGCGGGGCTTCCGCTCCACTCCACAGGCATAACTCAACTGGGGTCTGAGCCTTGGTCTTCTAACTTCGTCTTCAGCTCAAAAGCACTACACTTCTGAAAAGGGGGAATAATAGCAAGGCTGAGTACAACCACCGTACTCAGCAAGCCACACCAACGATGCAGACGTGCAAGGGGATACAAGGATGGTTTGTGGCTATTTGCATAAAGGCGGTTGTAAAACATTTTATTGAGCAAAACAGTAAAACTGTTGAGTAATTAAAGTAACATTAAATCTCCACTGATCAACGCTACACCACGTTGAACAGGCCCAACCAACCCACCTGAACTACAGTGTATTGGGTCGATTTATTAAGTGTGAGACTAATCACGGTGAATCTGGTCGACCGCCCATAACCGCGGGCACGGCTATTCGAATAGTTTTTACTCTGATCAGAGGCGTACAACTGTACCCACAAGACACAGCCCCACGCCGTGACAAGACCCTTCGCATAACCCCCTCTAACCAAGCACACCACACCTCAGGTTTCATCCCCACTCCTCGCAAGGCAGCGGGCAGTCCCCTCTCGTGCCTAGGTGAATCCGGAAGCCACATAGGCCATCGCAGGGCCCATCCAAACTCCATCACGCCCACCCTTGCCTAGATGCGTCAGCTAGAGGAAAGCTACACTACAAGCCTAGCCGTTGCCCACGCTGGCTTGTGGTAAGCACGATAAATTCTTCCAGGGTTTCCCGCGAACCGGTCCTTAATTGCCATGGGTGCGACTAGCAAAACCATGCACCCACAGCCCACCATTCAGTCGCATTTTAGTTGGATAATTACGACCATGAAGCATGGCCAGATGTCTCGAGCACGCAGCTCATTCTGATACTAAAAAGGTCTAATACTATAATTATCTCATCAACTGAGCTAGTGGTAATTAAGCATGGCTAAGCATATAGTTCTAGCTAGGTCACATAAGTAACATTAGCTAGTCGATTTATTACCCAAACTTGACAAAGGACAGATATCAAGTAAACATGGCACAAGCGAGCAGATAGGTAAAACCCTGACCCCCATGTAATTAGCAAAATATGCATATTTATTTGCAAATAGTAAAACATTTGTAAATTGGGATAAACATGCTCAAGGGGAATGTGTGACTTGCCTTGCTTCTTCACTTTGATCTTCCGAACTCTTTTCCTCGTGACCGCGGACTTCCGAAACGACGGATTCTACACGCTGGCACGCAAAACGAGGAAAAACTCTAATAAAAACCAAGAAAACAGTACATAAAAACTAAACAAACATGTAGAGCTCAATTTTAGATGAATTTTGCAAGTTGAATGGCTCAATTCAGAGTTCGAATGAATTAGGTATGAATTTTAGAAGTTTTGAACCATTTAAATGAATTTCTAGAATTAAACTCGATTTATTGTGCAATTATTATTTATTTTTACAAAGGAAATGGACCTCGCTGACGTCAGCAAGGGGTGAGGCGCGGACCACGTCCACAAAGGGGGAGGGCCCCACACGTCAGCGGCACGGCCCACCGTGGACCGAGTCCACGGTGGCGATCGGCCACGCGGGCGCGCACCCGACGGTCCAGATCGGCCAAGGCCGATCGGACGGCTGGGGACGGCCGGGCGGTGCGGCCTGGCCAGCGCGCACACATGGCTGGCGGCGGCGGCGGCGGCCGGGACCAAAGCGACGGCGGCGGCACGGCGCGCGCAAGCACGGGAGGCGCCCGGCTAAGGGGAGAAAGAGGGAAGGGGAGAGGAGTGCTCACCGAGGGCGGCGACGGCGAGACGACCACGGAGAGGCGCCCGGCGGCGGAAAGGATGGCGGCGGTCGGCACGGGAGGTGACGAGAACGGCGTTCCGACGACGCCCGACCACGGCGGAGCCACGGCCGAGGGGCGGTGGGATGCAGCGAATGCGGTGGAGGCGGTGGCGCGGCGTGAGGTGGATGGGGATGGCGGCAAGAGGCGGCCGGTTGGCGGCAGTTAGTGGTGGAGCTCGGGTTTGAGGTGGGAATGGTGTTCAGGGGGTGCGAGTGGAAAAGGAGGGGCGGACGGGCAGCGGCAAGGCACGGCGAAGCCGACGGCGGTGTTGGCGCAGTGCGGCAGCTGCAGCGAGGTGCGACCGGAGGCGGTGAATATGTCGGCGACCTTAGGTGCACGGTGAAATGGTGGTTTCGGTAGGGAAAGGGGAAAACGGAGCGGTGGCCGAGCTAGCCCGCGCGGCGGAGAAGCTGGCGATGTTGGCGGTGCGAAGCGGCGACAGCTATGGTGGCGGTGGTGCGCGGCTGGAGTTGGCGATGGTGGAGGAAAGAGATGGTGCGCGTGGCGGCGGTGCTTCGGAGGCGGGGAGGGGAAATGGAGCGGATGCCGGGGTGCGGTGGGGCGATGCGATGCTATAGGTGGCAGCGGCGCAGTGCGGGGGTGACGGAAGCGGCGACGGCGCGCGGCTGGAGGGTCGCCGGCGTGCGGCGGCGCACGAGAGCGGCGTGGGGAGCTCGAGAGAGCGCGCGGGAGGGGGCGGCGAGTTGGGGAAACGGATGAGGGGAGGCCGGGGTACACTTTTATAGGCCCCGGAGGAGGAGATCGTGGCCGAGTGGGGCGGCAACGGCCGGCGAAGTGGCGAGGCATCGTGGGATCGTGGGGGGCCAAACTGGCGCCGGTTTTTGGGGAAAAACGGGGGAGGAGGTGGAGGAGACGGGTGGTTTCCGGTTCCACGCGAGAGAGGGCTCGAGGAGGCCGGGAATGGCGGCGACGTGGGCGGTTTTCGGCTGCCATTGCGGCAACGGCAGTTGCCGGCCTGAGGTTGGGGATGACAGGTGGGCCCATGGGTCCCATCTGTCGGCCAAAGAGGAGAGGGAGGCCGGCTGGGGAGGTAAAGTAGACTTTGGGGATGAGAGGGCCGAGCGGCGAGCTGGGCCGAGGGAGAGAGAGAGCCCGAGAGGGGGAGGGGGATTGGGCTGGGGCGGCCCAAAAACAAAGAGGGGGAAATTTTAATTCGTTTTCTTTTTTATTTAGTTGGTTTAATGAACTTTGTGCTCTTAAATTTACTTCTTGAGCTCCGAAAATTCACGGAAAAAATCCGGAGAGTATTTTAGGGCACAAAGAATATTGCAAAATATTCCCGGCCAATGATTTTTAAAGGGAAAATTTTAATTCTCCCAATAATTCACTTGGATAAATTGCTTAACTTTTTATTTAATTTCTAGGAAATGCATTATTAAATAATTTTTAATCCCGAATGAAAATCGGGGCGTTACAAATATAAACCAGAGTCTAACACGTCTTTTCAATTATAGATATACTAGTTAATTCATAAGGTGTGTGTAATGTACCATGTGTCGCACAACACAAATCTTGCCAACTTGTGAAACCCAATGATGATCAAATCTTGAATCGAAGTCTTCAAAATCATCAAATAATAAGTTACTTTGGAAGGTTGTGATGACTCCTGCATTATGATTTGCTATGTTGGCGGTGTAACCATACGCATCGATCACCTGCAATAAAAAAATGTATATGTTTGGTTAGACACAAATATTAGTATTTTTTTTGTACGAATGTAAAATTGCCTAACTCACCGTGTCATATAACCATCCTCCATTCACATTGGGGAGTAGGAAATTAATTGCGAGTGGAATATCAGCTATTAAAGCAATTGTGGCCCAAATGTAGCTATTCCTCACAAAATGTAGGACCTCTTCGTCCTCTTTTGTTAGAATATAATCATCTGTATAGTCTGAGAAAAAAATTTCAAATTGTGCATAGTCTAAAATATCCACCAAGGCAAAAATTAAAGCGCAAGAATGAAAAATGAATGGAATTTCTCACCAAGATATTGTGTTGAGGTATTATGGTATTTGTCATCCTCATACAAATATATTCCACAGGGTGAGTAGCATATATGTCACGACCACCGGTCCTTTTTAGTAATTGTTTTGTAGCTAAAATTGAACGCTCAGAACCCATAGTGCAGTGAGTTGGTGAAATGTTTGTATGCACTATTCATGCAAGGGATTTTCTAATGGAGCAGTAATATTTGGCGATGATTCTTGTATCTTTTCTAATGGAGCAGCAATATTAGGCGATGATTCTTATATCTTTTCAACATGCTTGCCTGGTATTTTATTGGAACAATTGATTTGAAAACATTTTGGATCGACGTTGGTACACCCTTGTAATGTTTCTTCCTTTTCTCCAAAAGTTTTGTTCCAACCATCGTTGGCATGGCAAGTGTTCATTCGAGAGGTTTGTTCCTACAAAAGGGAGAGTTACCATAAAAAAACAATTTTTTAGTTGGACAAAGAATATTTATGTAGCTGAAGGCTTATATATTAAAATTAGTATTTAACAAAAATGTTTTGTACGCGTTATACCTTACAGTTTGGTTCACCAAATGGAGAAGAATTGTACGTGCGAACTACATTGCTGATTTCCTAGAAAAGAGAATAGTTGTAATACAGGTAAACAAGATCTAGGAAGGATACATGGTAATGATAGACAGACCATATATTTAAATCGTTTGTACATTGAAACAAACCTACTTCTAGATTGTAGACCCTTGTTGGTAGGGTGTCATGCATTTTAATCTCAGTTAATTCCTGTTGTATAGTGAGAATCTTTGAAAGAAGTTTATGTTCCATATCATGGATTACTCTTTCAAGTGAGAAGCGCTCCTTCGCCATAGCTTGAAGTATTAGGTTAACCTTCAAACATCAAAGAAAAAATTTTTATTCCTCTTTTTGAAAAAATATGTAAAAAATATAGCTAGACAGTATAATTATCATGAGATAAATCTATATGAACCTGGTTATTTGTGATAGAATGATGGACTGAGTGAGAACGGTGTTCTGCCGAGTGATATGCAGGTTCCCTTGTAACTTTCTGCACATGGTCTCCATGTACCTGCTGAGAAGGTTGGCGTGCTTGTGTTTGCATAGGGTCTCCATGTGATTGAAGAGGTGTCTTTTTATTGGCAATATTGGGTATGCACTAATCAGGTAAATTTATGATAACCTGTATAATATGATTTAGCTGTTAGTTACAATAGGGATTCATGTACAAAATAAGATGAAGTTCTTCGTCTGAAGTTACCACGCCTCCATGTATGCCTTCTTTCTCATAGGCATTGGTTCTTAGTTTTGCATTTCTCTCGTCCCAACGTGCCATCAACGTATGAATTGGAGGAGAATAGGAAACACCATATTTACTCTATGCTTGAATCCTTTCCCAGTTCCAAAACTACAAAAGGTAGACTTTATGTGATTTGATGCCAATAAAAAAAATTAATTGGTCAGTGAGGGTAAAACAATATGTACACTAATTATATTTTTTTTACAGGAACTGATTATATTATATGGCAATTACCTAGAGCAGGCCTAAATTTCCTTGCAGATTGACTAGGTCTTCTTCAACAAAAGTATGGATGCAACCCTTAGATGAGACAGAGTGAAAGTTCCCCAGTTGAGCTTTGGAATATCCGAAATATTTTCAACAATGGACAAATGCTTTGAGTCAACATGGTAATCTGTTGTGGGAGCTAAAATAACACCAATAGTACACAAAACAATCTGACGGATAAAATCTTCATCAACCTTCTTAGATCTTAAAATATTGTCCCTCAACCCCTACAAAGAAATGTGTCCTTTTCCTGGTGTTTTGTATCGGTTGAACAACTCACCATTGATTTTTGATTTGTTGTCTACAGATATTTCTTCCCCTTTGATTGGCAGATCCATTACTTTATAAACATGAGTTTCTAGCAATGGAATTTCTTTACCGCCTACCACAAAACACTTTGATTCTAGGTTGAATGACTTGGCAATCTTAACTAGCATGATACGGCGGAGAGTTACCACCTTCATATTAACAAGCCACCTAGCCCTAGCAACTTCATTGTTTCCTGTTTTTTTTTTTTTGGACAATTGTTCTACTGTCTCTGCATATTGCTCTGGAGAGCAAATAATGGTCATATCTCCATGCCTCATAGCAATTTGCTGGAAATTGTGGTAATCAAACATGATTATGTAACGAATATCATTGTGCACAGATGATGTACTTATGGTATAGCAAATGTACAAATGTATATACTGATTTACTAATTAACTAACCTCGTCCTCAGTGACTTCGTGATCTGTGGATTGACTTTGCGGAATTGGCGCCCCTTGTGCTACTTGGATGCATTGCGTTCTTGATCTGTGGATTGATTTTGCGGAAGTGGCGTCCCTTGTGCAAACTGGTGATGGTTGGATGCATGTAACGTCTCGCCTCTCCCAGGCCAGGCCCGCTTACATCTGGCAACTTTCATAGGATATAGACTGCCCTCACAGACCAACACAAGTCTTTTCTGCACACTTTGTCCTCGCTCGTGTGCACTCGGGAAGAATTTCCCGATCGGTCACCCATCCCGAAATTACTCCAGGCCAAGCACGCTTAATCTCAGAGTTCTTTCAAGATCAGCTTCCGGAAAAGAAGTTGCAACTTGTTAACCTCAGAGTTCTTTCGAGATCGGCTTCCGGAAAAGAAGTTGCAACTTATTGATATGAGTATTCTATCAGGCCAGGCCCGTTTACATCTGGCAACTTTCATAGGTCTAGGTCATAGAATGTCTTCACAGACCAACGCAAGTCTTTTCTGCACACTTTATCCTTACTCGTGTGCACTCGGGAATAATTACGCTTAACCTCAGAGTTCTTTCGAGATCGGCTTCCGGAAAAGAAGTTACAACTTGTTGATATGAGTATTCTATTAATCCTATTAAGTCCTGGGCCGGGATGTCACAATGCACTGCCGCCGTTGAAGCTGGTAGGTCTCTGTCCCATCTTTGACACCATCTATGCACAGATTTAAGAGAATGATTTGATCTAACTAATTGGCATTACCGATGTAGATTGTGATAGAGTAGCTATTAATCTTGAATGCCAGACCTAGTTTATAGGTTGAATTAGTCATTCGCATGATGTAACAGTTTTTTTTGTGCATTGCATGACCGGACTGAAACTTTCAGAGTTCGGTCAGGTCAGTTAGCGTTTTTCAGTTCTTTCAGTTGTAGTGGCTGAGCTGGGTTTGGAGCGTGGGATGGCACGTTCGGTCGTTAGATCCAGCAAAGTCGGAGTCTGTTATGCATGTAACAACCCCATGGGTTGAGGAGAATAAATAGGAGAGAAAACGAAAAGCTGCAGTTGGTTTTTGCGCATCACCAAAACACTTCTCTGTTATCTCTGTTCTTGAGTTTCAGTTAACTGTTCATCGTTTGACATTCTTCAGAGAGTTCGAGCGTGTGAGCTGAGAGCACATTGAGAGAGTTTTTCTGACAATTGGTATCAGAGCGGTACCACGACGGTCCTGCGACGATGTCTGATGATGGCGGGCGATACACACCGCCCAGACGCCGTGGTGGTGGTGGTGGCGGCGGCGGAAGCGGCAGCGGACACGGAGGCGCGGGTGGCAGCGGCGCGGGGAGTGGCACTGACAGCGCGAACCTTCCTCTCGTGCCATAGGGGAGAGACGCTGGGCACACGGCCCGCCTCCCGGTGCTGTCGAGGACCAATTACCCGGATTGGGCTCTGTTGATGCGTGTTAACCTACAAGCGCAAGGGCTATGGATGGCGATCGACCCCAGCTACGCGGAGTACCGCGATGATCGCGCAGCCCTCTCCGCGATTCTCTAGGCGGTGCCGCGCGAGATGCTGCGCGGTCTGGCGAAGCACGACACGGCGAAGGCGGCGTGGGACGCCATCAAGACCATGCGGGTCGGTGTCGACCGTGTGCGTGAGGCGAAGGAGTAGGGCTTCCGTCGTCAATTTGAGTCGATGCGATTCAAGGAGGGAGAGACGCCGGAGGAGTTTGCGATGCGGCTCACTGCCGTCGTCGCGGACATTCGCGACATGGGTGGAGTCATGGAGGATGAACACATCAACAAGAAGCTGTTGCGTGTTGTCCCGAAGAAGTACAAGCCGGTGGCGATTTCCCTCGAGCAGCTTCTCGACGTGAAAACGATGGCTCTTGAGGAGCTCGTCGGGCGGCTGTCGACGGTCGACAGCTACAGCGATGACGAAGAAGAAGAAGGAGGAAGCAAGTTGTATCTCATGGAGGAACAATGGTAGGCACGGAGTAAGCAGAAGGAGCAGGAAGCGTCCGGTGGCAATGGAAAGGGTCGCAGCGGCTCTGGCACACCAAATCGCCATGGAAAATCTGCTGGTTCGCCAAAGGGCAAGGAGGCGGCTTCCGAGGGGAGCGGCGGCCGTGACATCTCAAAGGTGAAGTGCTTTAATTGTGAACAATATGGCCATTTTGCTAGGCAATGTCGAAAACCGCGACGTCAGCGCCGCGTCGAGGCAAACATGGTGCAGACAGAGGAGGAGCCGACTCTGCTCATGGCACATGTGACCGGGCTGTCGCTCACTGGCGAAGCGGCATTTGGTCGAACACCTAGGGTGCAAGAAGTGCACCTCACTGAAAGGAAGGTGGTCCTGGATGACGATGACGTGCATGAAGTGGAGAACACAGGAGAATGGTTCCTGGTTACCAGGGCCACGAATCACATGACGGGGGCGCGCTCAGCCTTCGCCGAGCTCGACACTGGAGTCGTCGGCACTGTCAAATTCGGCGATGGCTCGGTGATAGACATCCAGGGGCGCGGAACCGTGGTGTTTAAGTGCAAGAACGGAGATCACCGGTCGCTTGACGCGGGTACTTCATTCCGAAGCTGCGCAAGAACATCGTGAGCGTCGGGCGACTCGACGCGCGCGGCTACGATGCACACATCTGGGGCGGTGTATTCACGCTCCGTGATCCCGAAGGCTTGCTGCTCGCCAAGGTATACCGTGATAATAGCTATCTGTATGTGCTAAAATTGAACATTGCAAGCCCTGTTTGTCTAGCGGCGAGTGGCGGCGAGACGGCATGGTGGTGGCATGCGCGTTTCGGGCACTTGAATTTTCAGGCGCTTTGGAGGCTGGCGTAGGGGAACATGGTTCGCGAGCTTCCGGCCATTGATCACGTTGATCAATTGTGCGACGGCTGTCTCGCGGGCAAACAACGGCGACTCCCGTTCCCGGAGGAGGCCAAGTTCAGAGCACAGGAGGCGCTCGAACTGGTGCATGGCGACTTGTGCGGGCCAATCACGCCTGCGACACCGGGTGGTAGGAAGTACTTCCTGCTTCTCGTGGACGACATGAGCCGGTACATGTGGATTCGGCTCCTGTCCGGCAAGCATGAAGCAGCGGCGGCAATCAAACAGTTCCAAGCCGGCGTCGAGTTGGAGTCCGGGCGAAAGCTGCGGGCTCTGAGGACGGGTTGCAGGGGTGGAATTCTGCACACCGCCGAGTGTGGTAACTCCAAATTCTGATGATGGGCCTGTTAGGTATCGCCGTGTTCAAGACATCCTCTCCACCACTGAGCCTGTTCTGGATTTTGATTATAGTGATCAATGCTTGTTGGCAAGTGAAGAACCCATGAGTCTTGCTGAAGCTGAGCAACATGTGTGTTGGAGGGAAGCAATGCAAGAAGAGTTAAAATCGATCGAAGAAAACCAAACCTGGTGTATTGCAGATCTCCCATCTGGGCACAAGGCAATTGGTTTGAAGTGGGTGTTCAAGGTGAAGAAGGATCCAGCAGGTGCAGTGGTGAAACACAAGGCCAGATTAGTGGCAAAGGGATATGTTCAGCAGCAAGGGATTGACTTTGAGGAAGTTTTTGCCCCTGTGGCAAGGATGGAGACTGTGAGATTGTTGATTGCTTTGGCTGCGAATAAAGGTTGGCAGATTCATCATATGGATGTAAAGTCTGCTTTCTTGAATGGTGACCTAGAGGAAGAAGTCTATGTTGTGCAACCTCCTGGGTTCAGTAAAAAAGGAAGTGAAGGCAGAGTGTTAAGACTGAAGAAAGCGTTGTATGGCCTGAAGCAGGCTCCTTGGGCCTAGAATGCTAAGTTGCATAACACACTACTCTCTCTGAAATTTACAAAGTCCGAGACTGAAAGTGCTGTGTATGTGAGAGGAACTGGAAGTTCGAGGTTGATAGTTGGGGTGTATGTTGATGACTTGATCATTAGTGGGGCTTAAGAAGGTGAAATTGAACTTTTCAAGATGGAAATGAAGGATAAATTTTGCATGAGTGACCTGGGGTTGCTGAGCTACTATCTAGGAATGGAGGTTGTCCAGAGAAGTGATGGGGTTTTCTTGTCACAAAGTGCCTATGCAGCAAAAATCTTGGAGAAGACAGGAATGGAAGGCTGCAATTCAACTCAGGTTCCAATGGAGGCAAAGTTGAAACTGAGAAAGGACAGTAATGGTGAAGCTGTAGATTCAGCTTTGTATAGAAGCATTGTGGGAAGTCTCCGATATTTGGTGAATACTAGGCCTGATCTTGCGTATTCAGTTGGATATGTAAGTAGATTTATGGAAAAGCCAACTTCTGAACATTGGGCCGCAGTAAAACATATTTTGAGGTATATTTCTGGGACTCTCAAAATTGGCTGCTGGTTTGGAAGGAATAAGTCTGAAAATCTGGAATTGGTTGGGTTCAGTGATAGTGATATGGCAGGAGACATGGATGATAGGAAGAGCACCACTGGAGTTCTGTACAGGTTGGGAGAGAGTTTGATCAGCTGGCAATCTCAAAAACAGATGGTGGTAGCCTTGTCATCGTGTGAAGCTGAATATATTGCAGCTACTACGGCTGCATGTCAGGGCATTTGGCTAAGCAGGCTGATGGCTGAAATACTAGGTGAAAAACCCAACCAAATAGTGATGAAAATTGACAACAAGTCTGCAATCAGTTTGTGTAAGAATCCAGTACTTCATGACAGAAGCAAACACATTGATACTCGATTCCATTTCATCAGGGAGTGTGTGGAGAAGAAGCAAATTGTCGTGGAGTATGTGCGTTCTGAAGACCAGCTTGCAGACATTCTGACAAAACCTGTTGGACGAGTTCGATTTCAGGAACTTCGAAAGAAGATAGGTTTGGAGCAGGTGATTCAAGATTAGGGGGGAAAATGATAGAGTAGCTATTAATCTTGAATGCCAGACCTGGTTTATAGGTTGAATTAGTCATTCGCATGATGTAACAGTTTTTTTTGTGCATTGCATGACCGGACTGAAACTTTCAGAGTTCGGTCAAGTCAGT